TAGATGACCTCTTGAGGTCCCTTCCAACTCTGATATTCTATGATTCTATGAGGTAAAGTGCTGATGATAGCAGCTCACATACTTAGTCATAGTATCATTACAGTCAAAAGACAGAAGACAGATGAATGGACAGAAGAATTCATATGAAACAGGAACATAGCTTCCTGCAAAGAGCTCAAACCTCAACTAATGTTAAACCTGTGAAGTTACTAGTTAATTTTCAAGACATGCTGTAGATAGAGCAGCATATGCACTACATGGATTTACTTGGAGGTTTAAGATTCCAGACAAGGTTCTGTTTTTTTTGTTTTTGTTTTTGTTTTTTTTACAGAAGTACTGACTTCCTACATATCACAGGCCACAGGACTTCCCTGAATCAATTCTTGCTTCAAATCCAATAGCTGTGGTTGTACTAAAGCAGGGGTCAGCAACGTTTGGCACGCGGCTCGCCAGGGTAAGTACCCTGGCGAGCCGGGCCAGTTTATTTACCTGCTGACGCGGCAGGTTCGGCCGATCGCAGCACCCACTGGCCGTGGTTCACTGTCCTGGGCCAGTAGGGGCAGCGGGAAGCGGCGCGGGCAAGGGATGTGCTGGCCGCGGCTTCCCGCCGCCCCCATTGGCCCAGGACAGCGGGTGGGGGCCGTGATCGGCCGAACCTGCCATGTCAGCAGGTAAACAAACTGGCCTGGCCCGCCAGGGTGCTTACCCTGGCGAGCCGCGTGCCAAACATTGCCAACCCCTGTACTAGAGCATATCTTTTAGGAAAGCATCCAATCCATATTTAAAAATTTCCACTGATGGAGAATCCACCATGTCCGTTGAGTTGTTCTGCTGGTTAATTACCCTCACTGTTAAAAATTTGCATCTTATTTCTAGTCTGAATTTGTCTAGCTTCAACTTCTAGCCAATGAATCTTATACCTTAGTCTGCTAGATTGAAGAGCCCTCTATCAAATTTCAATCCCCATGTAGGTACTTATAGACTGTAATCAAGTCACCTCTTAACCTTCTGTTTGATAAACTAAATAGATTGTTTCATAAGTTTCTCACTATAGGGCATGGTTTCCAATCCTTTAATCATTCCCATGGCTCTCCTCTCAACGCTTTCCAATTTTTCAACATCCTTCTTGAAGTGTGGACATAAACTTAGAGGGAAATAAATATTCACCATCTCTGAGACAGCTTAGAAAGGTTTGAACTTGCAACCATTTGAACACAAAGCATGAAAATTTCCATAGCATGAACAATAATCCATGATTTGGTTGTTGATAAAGTCATACTCAAGGAAGGGGTTTCATTTGTTCCTCCACAGAGCATTTGGACTTTATCTTAGAGGACAGGAGAGAGTTACCTGCTCACAAGGACCCATTTTACTATGGGGGCAAAAGGGTGAGAGCATCTCATGGCTCAGTTATATTTCATGGAGGAATTTCTTAACAACTTAAAAATCAAAGTTTTATATCCTGTGTTGCAACACAAAAGCTGAAAAAAATTGGCAAACGGCTATAATTCCCTCCCAGCCTGCAACAAATGTATCATTGATTGCAAATGTTACTATGCAGTGTATTGGTTAGATGTCCAAGTTATTTATAAGACTATGATATGTAAAAATGAAGGCATTTTCTTTGCATAACTGAATTGTCTTGCCTTTGCAGAAGGAAGTCTTGATACAAAAGTTCTTAATTTCAGTTAATATGCTCTGGGTGTCTACCAAGAGGTCCATTAAACAGGAGTATACAAACAAACATTAAAGTGTCCAGTGGATAGCAAACTGCATAATAAAATTAACTGTTTATATTTGAACAAGACAAAGAGCCTAAGAGATATAAAATGCCACTTCAGAGTACACATTTGTTTTAAATGTCTGGAAGCCTGCTCTTACAATGATTTTTTTCCCTATGCATTATGGAGAGTGTTCTTTAACCAAACTTCATCAATGAAGCATTGCAGACAAAGTATAGTAATTGCATTATCTAACTTACACAATGTAATTACAAAGCTTGGACTGCAATAAGAAGTTGTAGCACTGAGATCAGCAAAATCTGTCAGCTTGTTGTAATGGGGAAAAAACCACCTAGCTGAGTTTTTACATTTTAAACTGTTTATTAAAATTCATGGAACAATCTAATATTGTGAGGAGGTACCTTAGTAAGCAGACATGCTGCCCCTAAATCCTTTCTTTCCCTGATAGTTGAGGATGAATTTTAAAATAATGTAAGTCTATAGTTCTTAGCAATTACAGAAGTCCTGTCACTTTCAGCATTTAGGGTTTCATCATTCTGATAACATCACTGTTAACTTTGCCAGTTTTGCTGTAAGACTACATAATATTGCTCAAAATGCCATGTCTTAAACCAAAGTATCCCTGCACAACCACTAACATTAATTCAAAGCAAAGTGCCCCGACAAGTGCTGTGTTGCCAAAATTATTAACAGGGGACCCTCCTCAATTATCCCCTCATGTGACATTATTCTCCCCTAGTTCACAAGCTTCCAGCATAGATTTTATGGCCAGAAGGCACCATTAGATCATCTACTCTGATTTCCTGGATAATAAAGGCCATAGAATTTCACTTAGTTACCGTTCTGAGACCAAAAACATGTGAGTGACTAAAACATATCTTCCAGAAAGGCATCCTGTCTTCACTGAATCCCATCCTCTTCCTCTCCCAAATTCCACCAATCCTTCCACTCACCACAGCCATTTCCTTCACTCCTCTTGACCAACCATAGTTCTCTGTCCCCAGCACCTGAAGAAGGGCTCCTTTGCATGTGTCCCCCTACCTGGCAGCTGTTCCTCACAGCAGCACTGGTGGGGTAAGCAGGTCATCTTACAGCCTCTGCTGTCAGTGGTAGCAGCAGACTGGTTATTGGGATGGGTGACCATAGGGATTGGGTCTTTTCTAGTGGTGAACTGACTGGTTACTTAGAGAATAGATTCTTGAGAATGGCAGCTCTTCCCTGACTGGTGTTGGTCTTCCCTAGATGGTCAGAGGGGGGCCAAGAGGAGGAGTGTGTTTTCCTATTGTGGTGGTGGTGGGAAGGTTGGGGGAGTCAGGCTCGGGTCCCTCTCCCAGTGCCAGCTCTTTAACTCTATGCCGGAGCTGGGCAGGCAAGCACCAGCAAGCTGCAGGATTTCCACTCAATATGGTAGGCGCCTAGGGCATGTATACACTACAAACATAAGTTGACCTATGTTAGGCCAACTTACAGCCATCACAGTAATTACTGCAGTGGTTCATGTCCACTCTACCGTCCTTCTGTTGGTGGTGCGTGTCCTCATCAGGAGCATTTCTGCCAACTTTAGAGGGGCAATGTGGGGAGCTGAGAGCCCAGGCTCTCAGCTCCGAGTGCAGCTCCCCACCAGAAGCCCGACTGCCCCCCTCCCCGCTCCCATGGGTTTTTGGCTCCCTGCTGGGAGCCTGGCTGTCCCCCCCCACAGCTATTAGCTCCCCGCTCCTCACCGGGAGCCCGGCAGTTGAACGGAAGCTCCCAGCTCCCCACTGGCTGAACCTGGCAGTCACACGGAGCCTCCCTGATCCCTGTGGGGAGCCTTAGCAGCAGCCTGGCTGGGCGCAGGGAGCCAGGAGACTCTAGTTGGAGTCCTCCACCTGTCCTGGGGTGACAACCCAACTTTCTTGTCAATTTTATGGCTCCAGCACGTAAGTAACCTGCAGTGTCTACCCTGACACTGCTTCGTCTTAACTACGCCGCCATAACTCCATCTCTACGAGAGGCATAGGGCTTATTATGTCGGTATGGTAGGGCACTTACATCGGCGGGAGCTAGGCTGCAGTGTGGACACTGGCATAATTAGATCAACGTAAGCTGCCTTACATCGACCTAACTCTGTAGTGTAGACCAACCCTTAGCCCTGCATCCTCTCCTTCTCTTTATGTGCTGCTGACTGTGCGGAAACTTCAGGGCGCCTTTTGCATGGACTTCCTTTTGGCACTGGTTGCAGACATAGTATGAGAGTTCCCATTGCAGCAGTTGCTATAGCAATGGAGGGTGCAAACATAGCACTATTATTCCTTATTATTAGTATTACATTAGCACTTAGAGGCCCCAGACATGCTCTGCCAGGCTAGGCATTGTACATACTCAAAATAAGAGAGATTCCCAGCCCTGAAGAACTCAAAATCCCAAAAGACAACACATTGGAAGTATTATTATTCCCATGTTACATGAGGTGGATCTGAGGGACAGAGATTAAGTGATGTACCCCGGGAGTCTATAGAAGAGCTAGGAGTATGGCAGCTGCCCAAGCAAGAGGTGGTGAAGTCCCAATCTCAGAGAGGGCTTTAAAATGTTAACAAGCAGAGCCGACTCTAGTATTTTGCCCCCCATCCCCAACTCTGCCCTAGGCTACTGTAGACACATCAAATGACAACACAAGCTGACAGTTCTGGTGGACTGAGAGAGCTTCATAGAACGTTACAATGGCCCTAAAACAAACCAAATTGTGAATATAAATCTTTACACAGTCACCTTCAGAAACTCATCAAGTTCCCCTATTTTCTGAGCTTTACTGAGCAGATCCCCTTGTTCATCCTTCTGAGCTTGTTTGAGCTCTCTTATCTTCCTTGTACGACATGCCAGGAGTTTCATGATTAGGTCTTTACCTTGTTGGACACATTCTGGAATATAAAATGTAAATGATTAGGTGTTACAACGCTATAATTTTGGGAAAATAAGTGTGTGAACTTTCATTTCTGGTTTAAAAATGGATACATTTAAAAAAAAAAGCCAGTGTTCAAGTTTGATTTTTATTTCTGCAATAAATATATTCTATTGTAGGGGCAGCAACACTGTCTAGTGTATAGGGCACCAGACTGGCTGCTAGGACTTCAGGGTTCTATTCCTGGCTGTGCCTCTGACTTGCTGCATGATCTTGGACAAGTCACTTATGCCAAAGCTTTCAGTATCCACTGATATTTATTTTTATTTTTATTTTTTGGTGTGTGGGGGTTGCCAGCTTGAGACATTTGAGGCCTAACTTTCAAACACTCCACAGCTCCAGATGAGTTTTCCCTGCAGATCCAGACATCTGCTATCCAAACCTCCCTCACCTCTGTCTTTTCATCTGGTATTCACCTAAGCCCCTCAAAAAAAATATTAACCTTTTTTCCCTATAGATACCTCAATAATTTACTACTCCCCCAAGTAAACCGTGCAGCTAAAAATGAATACAGAAAATGAATGTTACATTGTGGCAGCTATTCTGCCACCATATCAAGGTGTTTTAGCTATGAGAAGTTCCTTGTTGGGGGGAGATAAAGCAGTGCATTATATAAACTTTGCACATTACTCATGTCCAGTGCTAATTTATTATAAACATCAGCCTGCTGACGAACATAAATTCCCTGACAAATCATTTGAAAATGATTAAAGACTGAAAGTCTTTAATAAAAATCTAGATAGTGCAATGTTTTTTCCCATTCCCTCCACCCCCAAAGTCTACACTAACCTTGGAGGTTTAAAAAAAACATTTTGAAAAACAGCTCTGGTCTACACTACAAACTTATGTTGGCCTAACTACGTCGCTCAGGGGTGTGGAAAATCCACAGCTCTGAGCGACGCAGTTCTATCAACTGAACTCCCAGTGTAGACTGTGCTATGTCGATGGGAGGGCTTGTATGCAAGATGTTTGAGATAATCTTTTAATACAGGAGGTTGCTCAATATGCGTGTACAGATTTTACTCTTATGGACAAAAGTACCTATTTCACATAAACCTAACGCCTTATCAGCTGCATCTCTGTCTTGCAACAATGCAAATACGACTGAGAGAAAAACAAAAGGAATGAACTCAAACAAAATTTAAGGGCTTACTTTTAGAAACACACAACAGCCCCGAGGTAGGCATATATGTCCTCCTTTTAAAGAACTAGCAAGGCGCATCCATTCAACCCTTTGCTTAAACTGTTATTCATATGACTACTTACCATTTTTTTAGAAAGGACAAAACCTGTGGAATGGGGATTGATGGCCTTTAGATATGGCAAAACTCACAATTCAAAACTAGCTGAGAATACGAGCAACTCTCCAGTGAGAGTATTTACATTCAGGCTCTTCAGCTCCTGGAGCTTTGACATGGACAGCATGCCAATAGGGCAGTTAAAGAATCAATTATCCTAAGAAAGCCAGCTTTGCATTTCTAGCAGACAAAGGGTTTTACCCCAGACTGATCACTTCAGAATCAAAGTTATTTAACAAAGACAGCAAATATTTACTTTCAAATATAAATATCTAAAACCAGCTTCCCTCCTTGCCCCACTTGGTGCTTGACCCAATGCCCATTGAGTTGAATGGAAAGATTCCGCATGACTTTGATGGATGCTGAATCGAGACGTTATGAAGGGGACTAGAGACATAAATACTCTTGTGGCAAACCACGGAATTAAATCAATACAGAATAATGTAATGATATGTTAAATATTCAGAGCAATGCACAGGTTCACAACTCCCATTAATGACAGTGGAACTCTGATTCCTAAATTCAACTTGCATCACTCCAAGATACGTTAAAACTCGGTAGGCTTCAACGTCAGTTTAAAAAAAATCAAATACACAACTGTAATAAATTCCTCACATGTGATGAGTAGAGCGATAATGATGGATAGATATGTCTGCCGAAGTATTTTGATTTAAGTCAAAGTAGAACAGTTGTTAATCAGAACAGGACAAATCCCCTACCCCCCTTCTATATCCCAACCATGGGGCAGGTAGGCATGGGAAACAATGGAGAGCCTGCAAAGTAAACTACAGAGCTCTTCTCCATGACTCCCCTCACTCTCTCCTGAGTAGGGTGGGAAGACATCTATAGCTCTGTGGCCAAGAATCAGCATTCTTCCATATTAAGTGGGAACTATTACGTGGGCATCTATTCATATGGGCTTAGCAGTAGGGGGACAAGATTGGTTCAATCTTGTAGATAGTGAAAACCTACCAAGGGATGTGAAAATGCAGAGCAGGGCCAAAGGAACTGTGAGCTGCAGGATCAGAAGTTTTCATCTTGTAAATAGATGCAGGAGAACCATGGCTGCATGAAGAGAGTCTAAGGACCCAGTTTTCAAATTACTAGTAATTTTAGGTGCCTGAAGTATTGGGTGTCCAACTTAAGACAACTTAAAGAGTTCCTGTCTTTCAGGGGGAGGTTGCTCAGTACTTTCTTAAAGCCAGGCCTCCTTAAGGAGTATCAATTTACACACTCCAAAATTGAGGCTCCAAAAATTATTATTCAGTTTTGAAAATATTGGCCCACCATGCCTATTTCCCTGCATGTGTATGGCACTGAATATATCAAAACAAGGCTCTTTCATCCTGCCCTGGAAAAGCATAATGGGGAACCTGATATACCAGGAGTTGTTAGTTTGTTGGGAGATCCCAGCTTCTGCAATGGGTGAGGGACTTCAGGTTAGTGAGCCATTCTGCTCCAGATTTTCTAGCTACAAAATACCTGTTTAAACAAAATTTCATGGTGGGGGGAACGGAGGGGAGAGAGCTAAAATGCCCCCACCCCCAAAGTTAGTTTATTTCTTTTGGGGTTTTTTTATCCCTCAAAATCTAAATTTGAACACTCATTTTAACCTCAGGAAGACAGAGAGATGAACTGAATTGCGTTTATCCCCCCCAAATGACCTTTTATAAAGGGCTGATGCCACAACTGTGTTTTTGTTTTAAACTTTCCTGTTTCATTTGCTGGTAGGAGAACATAACACAATGCTTTGCACTTACGCAACCGCCACTGGCCTTAAACTCTATGACGCTACGAACACCTTTTATCCAATGATTTCCAAGCCCTTACCAAACATTAATTAGAAAACCCTCCCAATACCCCTGTGAGGTAGATGTGACTTATATTCATTTTACACATGGGCACAATGAGGCACAGAG